TCTCCCTCTAATTTCAAAGGTAATGGGGCGCCTGGGTGGCTCAGTGGTTGAAGCCTCTGCCTTCGGCTCAGGTCATGGTCTCAGGGTCCTGGGATCGGGTCCCGCGTCGGGCTCTCTGCTCAGTGGGGAGCCTGCTTCCTCCTGTCTCTCTCTGCCTACTTGTGGTCTGTCTGTCAAATAGATAAAAGAGAATCTTAAAAAAAAAAAATTTCAAAGGTAATTATCATCATCTTTAGGTACCCATTAGGTACTTAGCTTGTAACCCTTTGCGCTTTAAAACTCTATAATCTGTAGGGCTGAAACCTGTGTGGAATAGGTATGGAGTAAATGTTTGATGATGATGAAAGACATGTGTAAGGAAGATTAATTTGGCAACAGCATATGGCCTGAATTGGAAAGAAGAAAGCCAAGAGGTAGAGAAATCATGAGGACGTTGTTCCAAAAATATAGGCGTGAAGGAAGGAATGGGGAAGAAACAGATACGAGAAAATACTTAGGAAGTAGAGTTCAAAGAAACTGAGCCAATTTAAATGTGGAGTGGGTTAAAAATTAATTTAAGTCTTCAAGTCCAAGTCTTTTGAAGAGCCATGATGCCACTCAAGTAAGATGGAAAAATCGGGAGAGGGAATTGGTTTGGGGGAATAAGGCGAAGAATATAGTTTTAGACAGGATCCAAGATGATGACAAGACATTCATTTAGAAATGGCCTAGGAATTTGGCTAGGTGAGAGTGAAGTGACTATGTAGAAACAGGGCTGAAGTATTGTTATTATTTTATTCACTTCAGCAGGTATTCACAGAGGCACTACTACGTGCTAAGGGCTGTGAGTTGTGGCATTAAATGAGGCAGAAACCTTGAGGAATTAATGTAATGGGGGAAAACAGATGTGTGAAAGGGAATATAAAGTCTAATGTAGTAAGTATCCAGAGGAGATTATATCCCGAGAAAGTGAATTAAATAGTACCTATTAGTGACACAAATTGCCCACTAGAGAAAACTGGAGAGTCTATGAAAGTATCCATAGGTAGCTTCTTCTGCTTAATTTTTCCTGCTCTGTGTCCCGTTACTCTGGTCACAAGTGTCTGGACTTTGGATTGGCCTCCAAGTGGAGGCAATCCTCTCTAAGCCAGGCATAAAGAAGATCGACCACCAATGAGGTGGCCCGTCAGGACAACTGTGTCCCGTAACAGCCCTTCTTATTGCATAGTGAATGACAGATACATGTCGATGCTCTTGCTTGGGATGTTTTAAATGTAAGTTGCAGAGAGCAGAAGATGGCAGTACAAGTTGGGACCGTATATGAGAAAGAAGCAGAGAGATGCTGATTCAGGAGAATGGCAAAAGTATTAGAGCATGGGCAATAGATGCCTGTCAATGAGGGAATGAGCCGGGCACCAGAGCCTGTTGCAGGATCATAAGAACTGCCGTTGATTTCTGGAATCAACAGTAGTTCTGGCTGATGATGTGTTTTTCTAGTTTCCTTATTTCCTGAAAATAAACCCTCAGCATTCGCAGTGCTCTGAACATGTCCTGGCACTTTAGATCTCACAAGAGCCCAGCTAGCACAAAGGAATTTCTGTTGTTTGGGCTTTCGTTATGTCTGCAGAAAAGAGTATCTTGTGAAGGATAGGTCAGTATGATCTTCATAAAGCATGATCAAAAGGACATTCACAAGGGCACATGTGTATGTGGCTGCCTTCCCAGAAGAGTGTAGCGGTAGAGGGCAAAAACCTCAGTTACATCTTAGAGCAAACCTCGAATCCTCAAGTTTATACTTTTGTGCTATTCCTTCTCTCTTTTCCCAGCATGATCACAGTGTAGGTCTGTGGGCTTGTCCTTGGGGAGAGCAGAGAAATGGAGAGCTATGGAGACTATTCAGTGCAGGCACCAAGTTTAAAGAAGGAAACCCCAGAAGACAGTAGACAGTGTAGCTGCGAAGAGCCTTGTGTCAAGATCAGAGTTTCTCAGTGTACAGAATGCAAACCACCAGTTTAGGATCACCTGATTTGTTAAAAATGAAGATTTCTAGATCACCTTGCCCCAGCTGAATAGAATCTCTAAGCGAGGGTCCTAGGAACTTGCATTTATGTAAGTATGCAAGGCGCTTCCCTTGGAAATCCGCCCCTATGAGCCCTGTGTCAAGGAAAGATAGAGAATGCTTGTTTATGAGAAAGTACTCAGGACTGAAGGGTGGAGAAGTTTGGCACAACATATGCATACATTGCTGTAGGAGTGAAAAAGAAAGAGAGAAGGTGTGTGAGCTCAAGCTGAAGGATAGGGTGAGCAGAAGAGAAAGTGGGATGCAGGTTTGCTCTGGGAATCATGAGCTCAGATGATAATTGAGACCATGGAGATGGATTAGGTTTCTGCTAATGCCAGAATTTTAACAATCAGCATAAAAGTGCTATATAAAGCTCTCCCCTCCTCTTTATTATAGTCCTTGCAAGATTTATGGAGCACCAACTACAGGGAGAACATTGTATTAGCAGCTGTCAAAGAGAACAAGAGCTTATCATGTACTCGAAGTTGGACAAAATAAATCTGTAGTTTATATTTAAGAGCGACTACAAAGCAACATCCAAATAAGTGCAAATTCATTCACTTAACAAAAACTCATTGTGTCCATTATGTGCAGACACTTTCCTTGACTCCACAGGGTGTGGTTTATCAGAAGGTGACCTGGGTGAGTTTAAAGGCAGATTTTGAAAAGAAAGTAAAAACAGATTACTGAGAGGTTAAGGCACTCTAAGCAAGGATTTAGAGTCACAGAGTTCAGAGAGAGGGTACATAACTTCATTCAACATTCCATAAATATTTATTAAGTACCTATTGTTTTGTAGACACTGGAAATATAGCAGTAAGTAATAGACAAAAATCCCTGCCCTCCTGGAGCTTAATATTCTGGTGGGAGAAAGACAAGAAAGCACAATAAATGTTATATAGCATATTAGAAAATGGTGTTTTGGAGAAAATAAAACAGGAAGAGAGGATTTGGCGGCAGGGGAGGGGAGGGATAGATACAGTATCAAAGATGATCTTTTGGGAATAACTCATTGGAAGGAGATGTTTCTAAGTCTCCTATAATATTTGTAAGTGTCAGGAAGATTTATGACTATGTAGTGGACATACGTTCTGTTAGAGGCAGCAAGTGCAAATTCCCCCACAAGAAGCCTGCCTGGCATTTTCAAGAACAGCCAGGAACCTGTGTGTGTGTGTGTGTGTGTGTGTGTGTGTGTGTGTGTTTAAGTGAGGAAAGGGGTAATAGGATAGAGTTCAGAGACAAAAGGGGTGAGGGGTGTTACATAATCTAAGGCCATAAGTCTTGGAGATTTTTCCTTTTTCATTAAGTGGGATGGGAGCCACAGGCAGGATGGGAAACTCTAGAGCTGGGAGCAGAGGAGTGAACGTGATCTGACATGGATCCTTCAATTCAGCGGGGTGAACTTGGGCCCAACTTTTCACCTCTCTAAATTTGTTTCCTCATCTGTAAAGTATTGGAAAGTATTCATCCTAAGGTTGTTGTGATGATTAAATAAGATGATATGTTCAAAAGATTTAGCAACTACTTGACACAGAGTAGGGACATTCTTTTCCCTCCTGTCTTCCACTTCCTCTCTTCTGTCTCTTCCACTTGGTACCAGGTGCTAGGAGAGAAAGACCAGAATCAGGCTTGCAGGTGACAGCCCACCTAAGGGGTAGGAAGAAAAGGGTGACCATTGTTTTAAGGACTGTGTTAAGTGACATAGTTGGGATTTAATATAATCGTTTGGGATTTAAATAATAGTTGGGATTATTAGTTGGGATTTAAAATAATCGTTTTATTGTGTTTTACCATGTGGACTAGCGAGACAGAACCGGAAATACTCAGGTAGTCCTGTTAGATGCAGGTGCTGGTCTCCCAGGCCTCAACCTTGAAAACTCACCCAAACAATTTACTTCTCTAGGTAGTTTATTAGACTCTGGGTTATGCTAGCAGTTTTAATTGTTCTGTTGTTAGACGTGTTAACTCCCTGAACGTTAACTGATTAATCTCAGTCTTCTAATTAATGTTTGAGTGATTCTCCTCAGGTCTAAACTATCAAGGGCACTTCTACTTAAACACAGTTTATCTTCTGTTTGTGCCCTCATGGACAATGGGTACATTTGAGGTTGCTGTTTAGAAAGACCTGCGATGACTTCAAAACATCCATAAACACAAAACAAAAAACAAGACAGAACTCCTCCCCGTTGAGATTAATGATGAAAGCCTGTGTCGCGTCCGTTTGGGCTTGGGGATAGGTTCCCAACCCCAGAGCGTTAAGGCCGGTAATCACCAAGCCATGGTCAGAAAGCCCCTGGGTGGGGAACTCTCTGCCCGACGTCTCCCTAAGTCACCGAAGTCGCCTCCCACATTTGGTGACTGCTGTTTATTTACTTGCAGTAAATGACAGTAAATGAACGTGCACGAGTGCAGCCGACCCCGAAGGGCGGCGGATTTCCCGCGGCTTCTCCCAGGAGACCCGGAGCGGGTGCGGCAGGGTCGCTCCCGGAGTCCCTGGCGTGCGCACAGCCCAGCGCCCCGCGGCCGGGGTGCGAGTCTGCGGCCGCGGGCTGGGTTCTGCGGCGAGAGTCCGGAGGCGGGCCGCCGCGTGGGTCCCGCGGTCCCTCCTCCCCGCCCCGCCGAGGCGCCGCCCAGACGCCCCCCCCGCTCCGCCGGCCCGGCTTCCCCACTCTTCGCCGCCCGCCACCCGGCCCCCGCGCCTCCTCCGCTGGCTCGGCCCGGCCCCCTCCTTCTCCCCGGCGGCGCTCGCAGGCTCGCTCTCTTCCCTCTTCCCACACCACCCTCAGCCGCTCCCTCCCCGCACGCCGGTCTGGAGAGGAATCGAGCGCCGCGCGCATCGATAGCTCTGCCCTCTGCGGCCGCCCGGCCCCGAACTCATCAGTGTGCTCGGAGCTCGATTTCCCTAGGCGGCGGCCGCGGCGGCGGAGGCACAGCGGCGGCGGCGGTGGCGGCGGCGGCGGTGGCGGCTGCCCGGCCAGTACTCCCGGCCCCCGCCATTTCGGACTGGGAGCGAGAGCGGCGCAGGCACTGAAGGCGGCGGCGGGGGCCAGAGGCTCGGCGGCTCCCAGGTGCGGGAGAGAGGTACGGAGCGGACCACCCCTCCTGGGCCCCTGCCCCGGTCCCGACCCTCCTCGCCGGCGCCGGGCGGGGCCGGCGGCGACTGAATGAATTAGGGGTCCCCGGAGGGGCGGGGAGGGGGTGCGGGCGCTGAGCCCCTGCGGGCGAGCGGACCGGGTGGGGGTGTCTGCAGGGGGAGGCGCGGGGACGCGGCTACGAGGGGAATGAGGAATGGGCGGTGCGGGGCTGGGGAGGGTGAGGCTAGAGGCGGCCGCCGCTTGTGCTGCTTCCTGGACGGGGAACCCCTTCCTTCCTCCTCCCCGAGAGCCTCGGCTGGAGGCGGCCGGGGAGAAACTCGCGGGCTGGGCGGGCTGCCCCTCGGGGCGGTCGGGTGCGGTGGAGGTTACTCCCGATGCGCTCCGATCTCCCCTCCCCCTCGTCGTCCTCTCTCTCTTTCTCTCTCTTTTCTCTCTCTCCCTTCGCTCCCGCACCTCTTCCTCCCTTCCCAGCCCTCGGCTCTCTCGGTTACTGCCTTCTCTGCTGCATCTAGCATCCCTAGGACGAAGGTATAAACTTCTCCCCCGAGCGCAACTGGACGGGTAGTGGTCCTTTTCAGTGTGTAGGGGGGGTATACAAGTAATAGGAGAGGTCACGTTTTGGAAGAGGCTAGGAAAGTGCTTAGAGACCACTGTTTGTGGTTATTGTGTTTGGAAAAAATGCATCTGCAGCCGAGTTCCTGACTGCTCCCCTCCCCCATGTATGGGCTGTGACATTGCTGTGGCCACAAAGGAGGAGGTGGAGGTAGAGATGGTGGTGGAAGAACAGGTGGCCAACACCCTACAACGTAAAGCCTGTGACTTAGTGAAAAGGAAAAAGTTAATCCCAGAAGGTCTGTTTTGCTTTGTCAAGTTAAAACACACACCGAAAACCCGCAGAGCAGAAGCAGGGCTTTTTCCTTGCTAGTTGAGTGTAGACAGCAATAGCAAAAATTGTACTTAAAGTTTAATTTGCCTGTTCTTGTCCTTTCCCCTATCTCTTGTCTGTTACCTTTATCCTTACAAATTTGACCCTCCCATCCCAAGAGTTATTACGGTACTCCTAAATAGCATTTAAACATTTTTTTTTTTTCAAACTGACTAGCAGAGGAGTTAATTGTAGCAGTCTTCCAGCCAACTGCCTGAAATACTCCTAAGCATGTGCATGCTTTAGCTGAAGTCCTAAGCTAGCCTTCTTAAATTTTGACATTTATCAAAATAAGGGTTAAAACAGAAAAGCATTTTCTTACAATATTCATGTTATGTTTGTAATGGAAAAAAATTACAAAGAAATTACAAAGGGAGAAATTCAATCATCATCTCAGAATCAACCATATGAGTGATGTCACTCTTAAGTGACTAAGGTCCAAAATGCTGACTCGACCATGAGCTAGACTATAGACATCAAATATGGTTGGTACCATTATTATTTACTTTGATACTGTAGCCATGGACAGGCATACCTGATTTTAAGAGACCATAGATGAGAAGATAATTCAGTTTTATGAGAAAAGTGGTTTTCTTTTTCCCTTAACTGAATGTTGGGTTCTAGTCCCACTTTACCCCTCCATAGCTATTTTAGCTTTGGGTGAGGGAGCTCTTTCTGGTCTATGATCTTCAGTAAGACTCCTTGGAAACCCAGTTCTCTTCAGTGGATTTAAATATTAGTTGGTTTATAAAATCCAATTCAGGGATTTTTTTTTTTTTTTTCCCAGAAACAACAGCTGCATAAACAGGTAGACCAGAAGGTGTGTGTGTCTCAGAACTCACAGTTAAGCTGTAATCTCGTATCTGTCCACAGTATCTCTTAGGCTAGCAAACTTTATAGCTGCAAGGACATCTTATACTCTTGAAAATTATTGAAGATCCCTATATGGGGTATGTCAGTATGTACCATAATACAAATTAAAACTGAGAATTTAAAAAATTGATTAATTCATTTAAAAATAGAAATAAGCCTATTACTTGATAACATAATAGCATTTTTATGAAAACTTGTTTTTCAAAACAAAAATTAGTGAGAATCGTGGCTTTGTTTCACATTTTTTGCTAATCTCTTTAACTATATTGCTTAATAGAAGACATCTGCATATCTGCTTCTGTGTTCACTCTATTGTGATCACATCTGGAAAACTCTACACTTATTAATGAATAAGAGTGGAAAGGGTAAATAACATTGCTGTAGTAATGGTATTATTAGTATTACTGATTTTGGCCTCTTGGACCCCCCCCAGGAATGCTCCTGGATTCCTGGACCATAGTTTGATAACTACTGTTCTAGGCTCCCCAAATTGTTTTAGGGGATGGGATAGGCAGGGAGCCAGAGTACATTTTGGTGTGATTCTCCTCATTGTTCCCCATTTCCTATGGCCTCTATTTGGAATAAAAGGTGGGAGCGATCACGATAAGATACATGCTTGGAGAGGCTCCCAAGGTGGCCTGGCAAATAGGGCTAGGTGGCACAGTATAAGCCAGGGGGCTGTAATGTAATAGTCTTTGATAGGACAGTTGTCTAGCCTGTTCTTTGTGAGAAGACTCAGGAATAGTGTAAGGAGGTAAGGGTTAGTATATTATCATTTGGAAAACCATATTACCTTTCTTTGGGGCAGTGGGGGATGCTGTTTGGATTCTTGGTCTTCAGTTAATAGGATACTGCATGCACTGTAGTGTTCATATTTGCACATTCATTAATTTAGAATAACTTATCCTGTAATTATTGTGTACTTACTGCCATTCTTTGTGCAGTTCTGTCCTTATTTTTAGTAATGTGGTTATTGGGGGAAAGAAGGTAAAATTTTAAAAATCGCTTTATTTCAAAACATTTGAAACAGCTGATTAAAAAATATTTTCTGTCTTGAGCAGTCAACCTTACAAGTTGCCAGTATTTATTGCAGTTGTTGAGAGACTGTACAAGAAGCAGAGAGTAAGTCACTGAGAAGTATACACTTACAGCTTTTCAAAATCCCTCTCATTAAAAGCAGTGCATATCTTTAAATTTTATATAATTATATTTTTTTGGTGCAAAGTGTTTTTTTCAGCACTAACATAGGATTACATATTGTGACAGATGATGAAATCATCCATGCTGAATAGTTCAAAATTCTTAAAATTCTCTTAGTTTTTATACACCATTATTTTCCCCAGCAGATATTTTACAGATTGAAATGTTATCAAATCTGCTTTGGTGTCTCAATGTTTATTTCCCCACTACATAGTCCAGCTTTATGTGACAGTCTTCTCTTCACCCCCATCTGACTCTTGTTAACTTCAGGAGAACTACTGTGATGATGCTTTTAAAAAGTTTCCTATAGCTGTTGGCTCTGACAAAGGCACTCAGCATATCCACTTGTAACTCTTAGGGGCCAGAGTGAACTAGGAATACTATAGAGGTAGCTGTCAACAAGTTTTGTGTGGGTGTGTCCACAGGGTATAGACACTTGTACTGAGTGAAGTCATAACATGTTCCTCTGAGAGCCATTAACTGCTACAGAGCAGCAGACTGGCTGTTCAGATAGAACAACCTGAATATACGATAAAAGAACTTTGTACTTTGAATGCATTTTTCTCAAACGTTGATGGGGGAGTTTGTAAATGAAATGCAGTTCATTACAATACCCATCTGTAGTCAACTGAAGTTTTCATCCCTGAATTTTGCGAAGCATTTTGGAATAATTTTTTTGTGTAAAGGTGAATTTGTGTTAAAAGGTTTTGATACAGTGGGTTATATTAATTTCATGTTCTAATTTATATTAACCACATGTTCTAATTTAGTCACATTTTCATTATTTTTATTATAAGGCCTGCTGAAAATGACTGAATATAAACTTGTGGTAGTTGGAGCTGGTGGCGTAGGCAAGAGTGCCTTGACGATACAGCTAATTCAGAATCACTTTGTGGATGAGTATGATCCTACAATAGAGGTAAACTTCATTTTAATATTATGCATATTGATTTGTGCAGGCCCATTCTTTGGGTATAAAAAGGAGGTTTCTCTGATCATTTTTTACGACTACCCATTACAAGCAATTATACTGAAAATGATTTTACTAAGTTCTCTGAAATGTACTTGTGTCCCTTGGCTTTATTCTGAAGTTACATATGCAACTAGAGATACGGATAGCCCTTATTCTCACTAGAGTACTAAGATGTACAACATTCGTTCTGTGTTAGTATATGTGTTTTTTGATTGTAAGTGTATTTCAGAGTTTTGTGAGAGGGTAAAAATGTAAATTCACATCTTACCTAGACAGTCATTTAAAAAAATGGTCTTATGGTTGTTGCTTGCTTGTTTGTTTGCTATTTTAATGTCACATTCATAAGTTAGAGTTGAATTGTACCAGTAAAATGTAATAATTTGGTGGTTGGTTTGGTTTTTTTTTTTTAAACATTTAATTAGTAGCATTTTCCTGTTTTATTTTCACATTGAAGTAGGGGAGAACCTACAGCTACTTGATAGATTTTAAAATCTCATTCTTTTTTTTTTTTAAAGATTTTTATTTATTTATTTGACAGAGAGAGATCACAAGTAGACAGAGAGGCAGGCAGAGAGAAAGAGAGAGAGAGGGAAGCAGGCTCCCTGCTGAGCAGAGAGCCCGATGTGGGACTCGATCCCAGGACCCCTGAGATCATGACCTGAGCCGAAGGCAGCGGCTTAACCCACTGAGCCACCCAGGCGCCCAAAATCTCATTCTTTGTGTATTTTTATCTCTATCTATATCAGGTGGTATATAATGGTACCACTATCAATCCTTACCTTTGCTTTGCAGCCCTCTTTTAACTTACTCAAATGTTAGAATTTCTTTTATTACAGATTGATTAATAATTTTTAAACTTTTTAAATTTCATAAAATATTGCCAAAGTAAAGGCCAACAGCAAAATGATAGAATAAAGGCCTGCGAGAGACCTTGAGTGGTCACGTAATACTTTCTGCTGCCTTCTGGCAGCACTGTACTTAAATTATCTCAAGCAGATAAGGATTTATTTAATCCTAAAGACCTGCAGGAGGGGATGGCACATCACTGTCCTTGTTAACTCACTTCCAGAATGTAATTATGAACGTATTTTATACATAATCTGAATATCCATATTAACTGTAACATCGGTGGAGATAGAAATAAATACAGCACCTGTCTTTGAAATAGACGTATGTTGTTAGATTATTTCTTAGACTTCGTTACCCCAGGTTAAGCAGTCCTAATCCCTTAGTTTTTATTTTGGATCTGCAGATCATATCATTTTTTTTAATCAGCTCTGAAAAATTTCCCAGAACTTTCTCTGAGTCTCTCCTTGTGGAATCTAAAACAGGTTAAGATGCCCTGTTAAGGGACAATGCTGTATGACGTTTTCAAGAACACTTTGACTGCATTGAGGTAGATTCTGAGGGCGCTGGTGGCCATGGCAAGATATTTATGCAATTAGAACTTTGAGGATTGAGTAAACAGCTTCATAAGGAAATATCAAATATTTTGGTACTGCAGGAAAAAAAAAAACACTTATTTGCAAAGATTTGATTTAAACCTAGCCAGCTTTTATTTGGCATGAGTAAAGGGGAAGAGTCTAACTGAAGTGGACCACCTGTACAGTAGTCTTCTATATTTTCTCTTGGCAAGGCAGTTCAGTGCTATATGATGGGTTTTTTTTTTCCCCCTTTGAGGAGGATTAAATAGATCACCCAGTTCGAAAACCAAGGTTACTTGGCATAATCCATTTAAATCAGAAGTAAAAGGAAGTTTTAATAGAATTCAGGTTAAACACGGAAGTTTTCTTGGGATTTTGGAAGGTGATTTTAGCAGAAGTGCTCTCCGTTTCTTTGAAAGTCCGAGGGATTCCATTACCCTCGGTTTCCTGAGTGCTATAGGAGATAATGTGATCAAACTTGTTAGGAAGTCTTTCTGTCCAACTTGCTAAAGTACAGTGTGGGTCTAAAATAAAGCCAAAAGTTAATCCTTTATTTTGAGTGAAGGTAGAAAAAGTTTATAAATTCAAACCCCTAGCTCTGATTATGATTTCTGCCAGACCTGAAGACTTGACTCTGGGGGGATCATCAGTTACCTGTGAACTTTGAAACTTAGACATTCCCTCACCAGTGCAGCCATCTGGGAAAAGCTGTCAGAGATCAACTGTTGTCTTCCAAATTACAGTGAGTCTCAGGGAACTGACACATTAAATTCATGGTGTAGTTCAACTGCAAGAAAGACAATTTAGTAGCTTATTTTAAATAAACAGTGGTTAAGCAAAAATGTTGACTTGATGTTTTTATAAAGAGTTTAAAAAGGAGATGTGGGGATATCACTACTGCTATTAGGTTTTGATTGGTGAATAATGTAGGTCAGAGAGAAAATGAGGGAGCACATAGCCTGCACATTTGGAATTCTCATCAGTTTTCCTGCACTAAAACAAATGGGAAGGAATTTTTTTTTAAAAATTAAAGAATATAATTTCTAGTGGTTTAGAATTTATAAAGATTTACCCTAGGAGAGAGATAAGGAAGGTGGTCATTTTTTCTTTCATTTTATGGATAAAAATGGTCTCTGAGAGGTTGTAACTTGCCTGAGAATACTTAGCTAGTAAATAGTGGACTTTTAAGTTTTCTGAGACCAAGTTAAGGGGAATTTCCACCTTGTATATACAACTTTAGAAATGAGAAATTAATCTTTAAGTTAGGAAGATATTTAATAATGGAGGCTGATTCAGATTTATCAATATACCAAATTAGAACTTACCTTCCTCTCCAGTGGCATCTTAATAGCAGAGATAGGATATAAAATTCAACAGGTATGATGCATAGATAGAGCATGCTTATATTTGAGGCTGTGCACATGATAATCAACTTCTATTTTGAAACATCTTACTTTTATCTTTTGTGAAGTTCACCAAAGAGTTCCAGAGATAATGAAGTACATTGTTCGTGGTGCAAGAATATTAAAAAGTCAAAGTAATCTCCAAGCACAATACCAGGCTAGAAATAATATATGCTTTTATAGTTTAGAGATCACTTGTTATTAAAACGCATTCTCTGAAATGTGTTTTCCAAGATAAAATTTGGCAGAAGGAGAAAAATCTTGTTTTAAAAAAATATAAGTAGTTACAGACATGGAGATCAGAATGATCATCTGATCGATTAGAAAATAGATATTGTGTATCTACTAGATTTAATATGCTAGTAAAAATAGATACAGAAAGATGTATTTTTTTTCAGGCTCCAATCCATTGACATTTGCATGCTTCTGTTAATGTGACACTTATAATTCAGTCTAAGTATTATGCCCTTCTTCAGTGAGTTTCCTACTCAGTAAGGATGATGGATTCTTGATTGGATTGATTTGCTCCATCTTTATTGCTCTGAGCTGTGGAGTATTTATTCAAGATTTACCAGTTTCTCTATCTTTTTACTTCTTCATGTTAATTATGGAATTTATTTTACTTGCTGAATAAGGTGTAATAGCTAGAACATTTGTAATATTAAGTCTTGAAGAATGGTGTGAGAAAAGCATTGTATAATGTTGAAAGCCATTATTTTTCTGGTTTCCTGCTTATGTACTAGTAGTTATCAATGAGGGGTCAGTGGCTTTGTTTCCCAGGGGACATTTAGTAATATCTAGAAATATTTTTGGTTGTTACAGCTTGTAAAGGGGGACTGCTACTGGCATCTGTGGAGGCAGGGATGCTGTGAAGCTGCCCGCAGTACACAGGACCACTCCTACAACCAATGAGATGGCCTCAAATGGCAGTAGTGCTGAGGCTGAGACCCTCCTCTGTGTTATATAAAGCTTTAAACATTTCTGTTAACTTCCAAGTCTCTGAATAAGGTTTATGCCAGATACTCTAACACAGCACAGATTTAAACTTTACCTTTTCTAAACTAATAGTATGTTATATGAGCTTATTCTAGCCTTCTGTTAAAACATTGTTTTTAAAATAAGGTACGCAGTAATTTTGTAAATGCATTTCTCAAGGCTTTGGCCAGCTTCCCCCCCTCCCCACCTTCAAGTGAGTGCCCTCTACTGGTCAATTTATTTGCTTTTATAATAAATAATGAAATACCATGTTTGGGTGTTTTCCTATTTAAACTGTGGGTATAATCAATTTATAAATGTGTAAGTTTTATTTAAAAGTCTGATTTTATATAATTTTTAAAAATCTAAAGTGTCAGTTTTATTCTCTGCTTATATTAAGATTTCTGTGTGGGCTAGTTAGGCCTAACTAATTAAATAGGTAGGTGAATATTTTTAACTAAGAAAGGAAATGTGGCAGTGAAGGAGAAAATAGGGTGGTTCGGTTGTTAACCCTGATTGAGATTACTTTGAGGAATAAAAAGTGACACTTTGACTCTGAATTTCTTTACATGTACACAGGAGCTATGCTATAGAGCTCAAAGCTTCCTGATGTGCTACATGGGATGTTAGGAAAGGGCCTATGGAAAGTGGCAAATTGTGACAGTTAACATTGTGTAGATTTTTTTATATAGTACTGTAGAATAGTTGTGAACACCTGATTTTTAGAATAAAGTAACACAAAATTCAGGCCCTGTATTTAGGTCAGTCTAAAAGTAAGTATGTACTTAATAATAATAAGTGCTTATTTAGACCTGAATGTTAAAAATTATCCAACATGTTTTCGTCTTACTTGGATTTTTATGAATACAAAGCTTTACAAACATAGAAATGAAAGTTGGTGGCGGAAATAAGTGAAAGGAAAAAATGTTTTTATGATTTAGCATCTCTAAAGATTCTGGGGTTTTTTTTTAAATACTTTTTTTTTTTTTTAAGATTTTATTTATTTATTTGACAGAGAGAGATCACAAGTAGGCAGAGAGAGAGGGGAAAGCAGGCTCTCCATTGAGCAGAGAGCCTGACACGGGGCTTGATCCCAGGACCCTGAGCCAAAGGCAGAGACCTAACCCACTGAGCCACCCAGGTG